ATCGTGTGTTTAAGTTCTTCTATTTCTATATGGTGTAATTTTTTTGTTAATGAGTTATATATTGTTTTTAGAATAATATTGTTGGGTTGTTGATTTTTGTAATACACCCAAAATAATTAATTCAATACGAGCAGGTAGTAAATTTTAAATACCGACATATTTTTAAATAAATCCCTAAGAGATAAGATAAGATGTTGACCATTTCCGAATGCTTCCGAATATTTACAATTGAGCATTCAAATACATAACTATTTTCCGTAACTGTACATGGCAATCGCATATGATATGCGATTGCCATGTACAGATCCGAGTAGATATGCGGCATATCTACTCGGATCTATTTATATCCAAAGTTTAATTATACCTACACCTAGACCCGAAACTAGTGGTAGTGGAGGCATTGCTGTGCATTGCAGTTCTCCAGGATCTTATGATGTAATAGAAACTCAAAAGTTATAAACTAACTCAGTTTTTTTATTTTGGGTTGGAAATTCTTGTGATGGAGCAATTCTGAGGTTAAATTCGGATTCATCACGTCAAAAACCTTGAGAAAAATATAGTCTGCTATTATTTTTTAAGTTTTTGTAAACTTGTGTATCTTTTAATCTAGAACTGGTATGACTGGCCCCCGTGACTTTTAAAAATAAATTACTAACAAGTTAAAATATAATTAAAAATAACTAAGTATATTATATATAATTTCTCTTGTAATCAATTTTTACGTATTTGATTATATTAGGGTCATGGGGGCGGTTGCCCCGACTGTCTTAGTCCACCACTGCTCTAGAGTGCAATTATCTGAGCCTATTCGTATATGTTGTTTCTAAGCAATTAATATTATATTAAGTAAATGTTTAAAAAAAAATATTTCTTGTTCAAAACCATACAATTTTTGGTTAAGTTAAAAATGCATATTGTTTAGGCCTGACGTCATGACAGAATTAAATTTTTTTCCGCTCTTTTTGAAATTTTACTAAAATATCTTAAAATAGGTATCATATTTATCAAAATTGTTATGAAAGTCTAGTCCAGTTGAAATGATTCAGCTTAAATAAAAAATAGTTTATTTAAAAAAGTGATGAGATTTACAACCTTTAAGAGAATTTTGACTTTGTACTAGTGAAGGGCCTATTCGAATACAAATAATCTAAGTATTCGATTCTGGCGTGAATTCGAATGCATTCGATTCTCAACAAAGTATTCGAATACTTCGAACCTTTCGAATCGAATCGAAAGCGCTTGAGTGTCATCGAGGGGAAGGTGGGAGACAAACAAAATAATAAAAAGTAAATCATGCTTAACCAGTTACTAAAAAAATATATAAAAAGTAACTGAAACAAATTAAAAATAATATAGTTTATGTTTTATGCCAAAAATAAAGAAAGCATGTCATAAATCAACCTAGTAGCAATTTTGGAAAAGCCTTGTCCAAGCATGGGTCAAGATACTTGGAACAGATTGTTGATCAAGAATTGTACAAGAATTGGTCCAGATTCTTGATAAAGATCATTGGGCAAGACTTGGGCCAGACTGTGGCCAGAATTTGTCAAGAATTTGACCAGAAGTCTGAGGCCATCTGTTACTAAACTTAGGGACTATTCTATAGAATAGAGGTTCTCATTTTACAGTAGTTTCATTCACAATTCACAATTGTCGTCTTTTCAGTTTCTCGCGTAAGTATATCTCAAGACTCTGGGCCAAGAATCTAGTCAAATTCTGGTCAAAGACTGGCCCAAGTCTGGAGCCAGTCTGGATAAAGAATCTTGGTCAAGTGTCTTGATCAAGAATTGTCAAATTGTGTATAAAGTGCTTCTCCAAGTATCTTGCTGGAGAATCTTGTCCCATTCCATTGCTACTAGGGTAGTAGGTATATCAGCCGGTTTAGAATTTATATTGCACCCAGTGCGAAGCCAACCCGCTCAACCCATAACGAATTGTAAACAAGAAATAAAATGACCATTCGAATACAGAGAATCGAATAATTTGTTCCGAAAACATTCATTCAATAAATGTTTTCGGCTATTATCGGTTCCGATTCGGAACAAACTATTTGATTCTCTGCATTCGAATGATCATTCGATTCTTTAGAGTATTCGAATGCAAAGTATTCGATTCTAAAAATCATTCGATTCTCCCTTCACTACTTTGTACTGTAAACTTATTCTTAAAACCTAATTTGCGCAACTGGTTTTATTAGATTCGTATTTATTTTAAAAAATAAATTGCATGTGTTATTGCATTATTGCACTCTGTACCAGTTATATGAACCCTTAATTACTTAATTTGGCCCATCTGCACGATCTAGTTATGGACACCAGTACAACCCTGATATGGCCATACCCGACTTTTTATTTAAAAAAAAAACAAGCCAATAACATATATACAAAGTTCAATAAATATAATTATTAAAATTGTTTTCTAAGTCGTATGTTTTTTAATTTTCTTTATCTTTTTCCCCTTCAATGCATTTTTCTTTAATTACAATTTTCCTGATTTACCACTTCATTTAGTTCAGGAAACATAAATTGAATATCATTTTCGTCTTCACTTTGGTTGTTTAAAAAGTCGCTGTCGTATTTTCCATTTTCAATGGCAATTTTTATCCATACATCCAAATAGGGTCAGGTGCCACTTTTTAGGCAGTTCTGGAAAATATTAAAATGACTTGTTTGCCTTCCAAGTTTTAAAGCGTTTGTGGTTCTTCATTGTCGTGAATGCCATGGAATAGTCCACGTTACCACTATCAAAAGGAAATAGTCCGCACATTCGGAATCCATTTATTATCGTTGATTTTAAATACCGATGATATTATTTTATGTAATACAACTGGAACATGTTGCTTTTTAATTTTAGTTCCGACGTGATCAAGTCTCCCTTTCTGTACAGCTTGTTTCCACTTTCATTTTAAAGGAAAAAATACAGCCACGTCTAGAGGCAGGAATTAGAATAAAGACACAATAAAATGATCTGTTTTTCTCTGCAGAAGTTACTGAAAGCCAAAGATGTATGCTCTGTATAAACATTTGAAATCCTCTCACATCTATATGCTGTAAGAGGGGGAGCAAGTGTGGTTCCCCAATAAGTGTTGTCCCATGTTCCTTATCACTATTGCTTGATGTACTGTAACCATGTTTTTCTTTTTAGCTATAACTTTATTTTAAGTTACCTAAATATAAAACAAATATTGGAAATATTTCCCAACACCAAAACAAAACATAAAGTGCTTAAAGTACTTTTTGCCAAAGATGTTGGCTTCTTCAGTAACGAAGTGTAACTAAATCTAAATCTACCATATTTATACTATTAATAGCTAAGGTTGACTGAACCTTAAACGGACACAGTTTACTAAACCCTGGACCATAATCGCTTCAGTGAACACGTAAAGAGAAACTAACAAACTAGAGTTGGGTACGCGGTCCGTACCGCTAAATATAATACAAATACCTTTAGGATTAAGATAAAAAGCTGTTTCATCTAGATTCCATATTCTGGTTGGATCTTGTAAGACTTCTTAATCTTGTTTTAAAAATTTAAGGATCTCTTCAAACCACATTTAAATCCTTTCTGGTGTGTATTAAGCATGTTTTTTGGAAAGCTCTGGATGTCTTTAAAGAAATCTTTCGAACTATTTTCTTCCTGGTAAATTGTTTTTAAAAGGTTTTCCAACCCTTTTTCGTATCATCCAACAAAATTTTAACAGAAAATCAGAGCCATTCTTATCTAATGGAAAACCTATTTGGCAGTTAGTTTTTAGCTAGTTTAAGAAAATGTCTTCTACATCATTATCTAAATGACACTCGGGACCAAAAATTCTTTGTGTTGTTACATGCATTTTACGTCTCAATGTTGATCTATGTATGTTGTAATTTTTAGGAGCTGTTTGCAGTGCAAACTTTGCACCTTCATTTCGTTTTGTACTGCCGTAACTGCAATATTAAGTTGGTACTGGTCATATTTAAAAAAAACTTTGGGTATTTTCTTGTGGTGTTTCAGATACTCTATCTTTTATAAACGCTATAATATTAAATAAAACTTTAGTTATATATTATATTATGTTTTCATTGAGTAGGTCTCAACAAGTATTTTTTATTTAAAAAAAAATCTTTTAACGAAAAAGAGACCAAAACTGTAAAAATTATTAAGTAACCAAAACTGGAAATGAGCAACTCCGGTTATGGCCACATTGTGACCACATGGGTATGAGTACCAATTTTTTAAAAAGAAATATTTGCAATAAAGTAACCTAAATTTTAAATCTATCAATTGTTAATCAAATATTTATTGTAAATAACAAAATTTACTTAATCTAATTGGTGTACCTAATTAAAAAAAATACAAAAAAAAAAACTTACCAGTGCTTCTTTGAGATTTGACTAGGGAATTCATGCAACGACGCAAACTTAACTTTTGAAGCTTTGAAGTATGTATATTTTAAATGCATAAGCGCCATCTTGCGAGATAACAGGTTGTTTTTTTTTTAATTAATAAAGAAAACTTTTATAAACCTGAACAGATGCCTGTAATTCTTATTACTGAGGCAAAAGTGGTACAGGTGCAGTGTCCAAAAGTGGAGCACCTACCCTACACGTAACGTACGTGTACGTTACAACGTTGTCCATTTTGATTAAAAACACACTGTATAAAAAATACCAGTAATGATTATGTATTATCATTACCATTAAGGCTAATTTTTTTGTAATAATAAACAAATGTATGATTCTGCATGGAATTACCCTTAACGATTTAATACTAAGCGAAGACTAAGCGTACCTATTATCATCAAGTAAGATATTTTTAAAACATTAAAATTAAAAACTAATCAAAACTATTCAAATTAATTCATTATAATTATAAGCGCTGTGTATTTGCTTAAAACTACTATTATTATTTCCTTTTAATTAATTAAAATTTAGTTGTTCTTGCTTTCTAATAAAAATCTACTTTAGTTCCGTTTAAGTTTCGTTGAACAAATTTTGTAAAAAATGTTTAAAAAAACTTACTTATGTTGAGGATATTTTTCTTTTATTTTTAATATGAGTGTCTCCTCGATTTTTCTGTCATATATTGTCACTAAATCCCAAGATTCATCTTTGGTTTCAATTTTAAAATTTTTTGCTTCCAGGAGTAGCTGTAAAGTAAATTAAAAAATAAAATATTATAATATAAATTAAAACACATCTTAATGATAATAATAAGAAAGTCTAATTCCTTTGTTTTGGACCCAAAAAATTTACAGTTTTATGTATTAGGTATTAAGTGCCATAATACTGTTTGGCTAATAATAAGAAGTACATCGTTTGTCATACAAATTTTTGTTTTATTTAAGCCAAACAGTATGCACCCTCTTATCGGCCCTGTTAATATTTTCTGGTTCCAACGTTGAACGCGTTTACAACCTTAATTTTGCTCTCTTGAATAATTTTAAAAGGGTGACTTAATACAGTTTGGTTCTGAGGTGCAGATAAGGTTGCCAGATCGCTTGAAATAAAATACCGGACAGATATCAGACTCAAGGTTGGGACTTGGGAATGTCAAATATTAATCACGTTTTTTATTACATATTAGCTACCTATGTGTTTTACTGGACTTGGAGTCGAAATACTTCGGTGCAGTACCGGATAAAATAAAAAATATATTGGGTAGGCAAGTTCTAAAATCCGCTAACATAACTCTTTCTTTACTAGCGGGACATATATGTCCCAACATAGCTTTATAACGTATTAATAACTCCGCTGAAATTTATTGCAGTCCCAACAGTCTTTAGTAAAGTATCGGAAAATTTTGCGACCGTTCGGCAAGCCTCGAAAGTGCAAATTCATTATTTAGCAGACCTTCGATCTATTTCGCAGGTGCTTATTTGGCTTGTTATAACCTGTTTTGATGCTATTCGTGTTACTATTGGTGAAAAGATAAGTATTACTATTGTTAGAAAGGTAATACATAGAGTAGTCCTTATATATTTTGTTTTACAGGTTCTGGTTGTAAAAAAATCGCCCTGGGACATATATGTCCCAAAAGTCTTCTGTTATGTACAAATTTGTCCTAATAGTCCTATACAAAATATTTATTTTTGTCCCAATAGTCTTATAAAAGGAATAAAAATATTTGTATTTTTTATAAAATGAGTCGCCTAGGTTTATCACACATGAAGAACTAATTTACCTTTATTATATATATTTATAAAAGTAAACCTAAAAATTTTATATAGATAAATTTTAAACAAATAAAATCTTAAATATTTAATAAATGTTAAAACGGCGTGCAATAAAGGTCTTAGATGTTCGCAAGGAATCGACCCCTTTCGTTTCGGTGATTTTGGGACACCTTAAAGGTGTGTGATTTACAGACCCCCAGGAATACTAATAATAATATACTAATAAAGTGGTAGTTTAATTTCGAATCATTATGACAACAAACAACAATATTAAAAAGTATCAAAATTCTTTACTTTAAGTTAGAGGTTATTCATTTTACGTCAGACTGTACAGAAGAAAATAAGTCAACATTTGTGAAGTAAGCATGGGGTTTTCACCATGGAAATAAAAATCGGTAAAAACTTATTTTACATTAAGTACTAGGTTGCCTCATAATGTTCCAGAAATATTGTATTGGCAATTTTACTCCAAAGCGACAAAAAATGACCACTCGAGGTTCGATTGAGCAGGTCATTTTTTTAACTTTTAACTTAAACTTGGTGGTTTATTAATTTGACTCTAAAAAATTGGGAATATCGCCCAAATTTCTTCTTTTCAAATTAATACGTCAAACCCCCTAAGTTTTCGTGAAAAGTCAAAAAAATCCGGCTAAATCGAACCTCTAGTGGTATTACATTCGATTATTTTTTAACATTTTCAACCAATAGAAAATTTCAAATTCAGTCATGTGTGTATGTTTTAATCAATCATATATAGTGGGAATAACTTAGTACTGTACATTATTTTTGCGAAAATATTCTGTCAAAACCCATTCTAATTCTATAATAAACGTCAAAAAATAATATTTGAAATACCACTCGAGACTTCAAAATTTTAGAAAATAATTCTCCAGAATCACAATACTCAAGTACCAATACTAACGGGCAGTCGAACTCGAGCGCTCTTAAGTTCCTAATCATAATATAAGTCTTGAAGAAACATAAAAATCTCTCAAACACAGTGTAGTTCAAGAAAAATACTATGCGAAATTAGTGCAAAGGTTTACTACTTTGGCACGTAAAATCTGTTCTCCAAAGTCTTAATAGAAACATTAAATTAGTGCCTTAAAAAGCAATCTTTTAACAAGTAAATACAGTGAAAAAGTCCATTCGAACACGAAAGTAATTAAGTGATAAGTGACATCATACCTGGCGAACTAACCACAGGTCAATAAATTACCTTATGTAAAGAAGAAACGAGCCTAACCAAGGAAGGGGCGATCATCTGCAAAAACTGATAAGTACTAAGTAACCACACACACAAAACCATACAATAATCAATTATTATTCCTAAAAACAGCGTAACAATGTTTTCCCTCCTTGTCCCTCACTCCACTAGCCTAAATCGGGAGTATGGCCCGGCCCAGCGACAAAATTCCAGGAAGGCCCTTAACCATCGAAACTGTCATCCACGACCTCCTAAAAGAAATTACCAGCCGGGGTATCCACCAAACACAGGCTGTACGTTTGAGGGATACTTATGAGAACTGAAAGATGGTAAAAATAATTCTGGGAGATCAGTGTAAGGCGATGCCGATGAGGAGAGCCAGACGTTCTTATACTCATACTCATACACAATTCTACAGAATCACAATACTCGCTAAATAAATAGGTATATGAATCATTCATGATGAATGTATTATCAATGTACGACGTACATTGTACGTACGCTGCTAGAGACATTTAATCAAATGCCAGGTTAATTATTATCCGATTTATAATTCCTACACAGAAAAAAATCTAACATAGTACCAAGAACAGCGCTGTCATTGAATGCATTAAAATTGAAGCAATCTAAATTGTTATTTGCTCAATTAATTACTATTAAACCAAAATAGGGAAATATTTTGCTTAAATGTCAAAGAATTTATTGCGTTAAATGTATACATAGTATACATACAATAGTAACGTTATTAAATAAATCAAATTAGTATTTAATGCAATAACATTATACCATTCTAACAAATAAATATCAATATGAATATCAATAGATTTGGGAACGATAACTTTTGTTGTTAATTTAAAAACAGTAAACGATTATAAACCAAGTGCTAACTACCTATTGGTATTATAGGAACTGTTATTCAGGAATATGCTATGCTAGCGTTTTTTCTGTGTAGCAGCTCGGGTTTAAAAGTTTTTTTTTTAATAAATCGAAGAAGAACCAGAAAATGTTTTGATTTTTTTTGACGTATTTTAAATCAGTTTTTTAAACATTTTGGTTAAACAAAATATTCAAATGTATTTAATTAACACGTTGACTGCCAAGCATATATTTTGCGAACTCAAATTTTTGCTGTTGTCTACCCAACTGGGTTGACACAAGAACCCAAGTTTTTGCTACTGTCCACCCGAACGGGTTAAAGGTTAAAACTACTTGACAGTTGTAAGGTAAAATTTCAAATAAAATTGGCTTTAAATTCTGAAAAAACATTACTTTGTATGCGTCATATAAAAAGCATTGTGTTTCACTTGTGGGAAAAGCATTTTTAAAGCTTGTGCGCAACTTAAATACTCGCATTAAAGTTAGAGTTGCTTTTCAACACTTGTGAAACAACAGTGTGCGACTAGTGACCAAGCCAAGCCAACTTCATTTGATATTTTATCTGACATATGAGAGCTGTTAATTTATGTTAACCTCACTTTTTTTCAAATTGAATTTAAAGCAAACACTAGTGGTAAAATTTTGCCCTCCAAGCTAAAAAAAACTAATTTAAAAACAACCTGAAATAAAAAAAAAATTAAGTAAATAAGCTTCTTTAGTTCTCCCTGTTATGATTTTCATTACTTAAAACATAATGCAAGTGTATTCAGCACTATGCACGCGCCAGTTCGGGGTGAATCATTTTTTTCATCATCATCATACTTAGCCGTGTGTGCTAGGGTGGGCCAAAAAATAAAAAAATTGAAATTGAATTTGCAATTTTTATATGGTTATAAATCTTTTACCGAGCATTAAAGTTAAAAAAAATCAGATTTAGAAAAACTTTTTTTTTTATATTTCAATATCATTTCTGTAGGGTATTTTTTAAACATTTATCTTTACAAAAGCTTTTATCTTTTTTTGTTAAAAACTATAAATTGTACAAGGTACAACCTTATTCCTCACATCATACCACGTGCAGTTTTGTTTTGATAGTTCGCATAATGAACTTCGTGTGGACAAAGATTATTTTCGTTTATTCGTAAGAACTGTGCGTTTGTGTATAAATTTTGTGTTTTTTTTTTAAATGCTTTTTATGGATACTATATGATTTAAAACCACCAGACTACAAAGAACCAACATTTTTTTATATATGAAATATAGTATATTTAATATACTGACCAATAAAGTTTTGGATTTGTGGGAAAAAGCTTAAATTCCTACAGTAGGTCGTAAACGTGTATGCAACTTATTAAAAAATATCACGATAAATACTTGAAGCTCCTATGGTATTCAAATATAAAAGAAATTAAAACTTTGATTTAAAAGTTGAAACTTATAAAAAAAGAAGTTAGTAAGATGTTTGACATAAGTGCTTGCAAATGCGAAAACTTAGACAAATGTTCCTGTTGCAAATCTAATAAAATACCTTTTAATAGTTATTTGTTTTACAAGTGTTGAAAAGCGACTTTTTCATGCGAGTTTTTAAGTTGCCCACGAGGCCGTTAGGCCGAGTGTGCATTAACACGAGCTTGAAGAAAGCTTTTCTCACAAGTATAACACAATGTTTTTTCTGCGACCCTTTTATTTTTTATTATTTTTAAATACAAAACAAAATAACCTAAAAACTTTTTTGACAGCTGAATGTCAAACGATGGTTTCCGGTTCTTTTCACACAGACCTGTCACTTTTCACACAGAAATGTCACTTTACATTCGTGTTTTGCCTTGAAAATGAAAAGGTTCATTTTCTAAGCAACGATGCCATTATGAAAAGTGACTTTTACATAGTG